GATCCCGAACCAAGGTCGGCATAAACCATAAATTTGAAGCAAATATCCTTGGAGACCCCGAACCAACAGATAATTGAAGAACAACAGATAAAGATCGGCGGGATGGGGAAAATTCGGGATTCGGACGAAATCGAAAGATAAGGGCAACAAGATAAACCGAACAAGATTTCTATTTACAGTTATGTGGGATAGATGAGGATATCATAAACAACAGATTCACAAAACGACTAAGTCCTACAAACTTATCTGAAGCCCGAATGACTATCGATACAAGAGGAAGGCCAAATCCTGGTAAATTGTCGGAACCATCTGAGGCCAGAAAAAACTGCCAAGTCCTAAAAAATGTACCGAATCCCGAATGGTAAGCAATAAATCAAGAAAGGCAATATGAAAATCTCTGTGCAAAAAAGATGTGTATTCATCGGTTCTACCAGCCGGAAAATACAATAATGGATTTCAAAAAAGAAGAAGGGGGGAAGGGATTACAATTGATAAGAAACAAAATTCTAAATCTACTGGCCCTCCCTAGTGTCTTCTTCATCACCTTCCTCCTCGTCTGAATCAGTGGGGGGATCATGCTCTCTCCCCGCTTCACGATCAGCAGCCCGTTGAAAGTCCCGTTGATATTTCTCATATTGGGCTTCAACGATGGGCGCCTGGGGAAGATCAGACAGCTCGACTGGCCTCCCTAACATTTTTTGCAGTTTAGCAACAAAGGGGGCCATGATATGCTGGCAGCCCATGACATAAAGAGATCGGGCCAGGGAGTCATTGAATTTTTTGCCCATTGGATCCTGGTCGAGCAGTTTGACCCCCTCGCTGCGGCGGGCATCACCCGTGGAGAATCGTTCGAGATAAGCACCGAAGGTGGCCGGGAGTTCCTGCTGTGCATAATCTTTCTTCAGGACAGCAAACTCCTCAGACCCATTGAATGCTTCCCGGACGACGGACAGATCAACCTTCACCTCAGTTGGGCTGTCCAGGATACGGGGGGCGCTCTCTTCGAACTTCACCAAAGCAGCTTCAGCAGCATGAACTTTGTCTTGGAAGGCCCGAGCTGAACCCTGAGTTCACCAAGCTCTGACTCAAAGCGTCTCTTCTCCTCCGCGGAGGCCTTCCGTTTGGTCTCCAGAGCGGCAAAGGCAGCAGCCGCATTCTGCTCCGCAGAAGTCTGAGCGACGATCAGGTCCCGCTCTTTAGCCACTCGAGCCTCTTTCAGTTGCAAACTGTAAAGCCCAACCTGCAGAATGTCGTTCGAGAAATGAGATGGTGTGAAACGGAATTTAAACTATGAGAAAACTATAGGGAAAAAGTAAAATACCTTCAGGGCTGCTAAGGCCAAGCATTCCTCAGATTGCTCGACCGACAGCTTGAGAACAATGAAATTGTTGAAAAAAGCGGAGGTAGACCAAATCTGGCTTGCCGAGCATCCACCTTTCTCTACAACTTCATGAACCGGATCCGCCAGTGAGATCCGGTCGACCTGGCCAGATAGATGGACGGTATGCATATCACCCGTACCCTGACCAGTCTCCTGAGCAGCCTGGAAGTGCTCAGGGAATTGATGCATCTGATCAGAACCGAACCGATCGTCGACCAGCATGGCATCAAATTGGTCCTGATGGACCTGTTGCAGTGGCTGTGGCTCTGGAACGGGTTGAGAAGATCCGGCATCCTGAGCGGTAATAGTGGAAGGAGTGGGTTGGGGGTTCTTCCTGGCTTTCTTCCGTTTGTCGACCCCACCAGCTGCAAGAACTCTACTATTGTCCATAGGTGCGTCTGGATTGAGAGCTAAAAAATAACAAAGGAAAATGTTAGTATCGAGCGGACCTTAGCACGTGGGAAACAAAAAAGAAGAGAATGTTTCTCGCACGGGGAGGACCGCTCGGACCATGGCACTTGATTTCTCAAAACAAGTAAACCCAAGAGAACGGGCAGTACCTATCCCAGCTTCGATTAGCCGATCGGGAGTCAGGTAACTCATGATATCTACGCATTTATCTTTCTCCACAGCAAGCACATCCTTGTAAATTTCCTCAGTAAGGACTGGATCAGGAGATTTGCGGGGGAAGGCATTCCATTTGCGGGGAATCAGGCCGTCCGGGACAGACACAAAGAAGAACCGATCTTTCCACCCCTTGATTGAAGTCGGATTGCCCTTAAACAGGATATGTCCCGTTCGGGCACTAGTGGCCAAATAGTCATGTGTTTGTTGAGGGGCTACCTTAAAAAATTGGTGAAATAAATCTAGGGTCGGCCGGGCACCGGCATCTTTACAACGTCAAATAAAGCCCGCCATTGCCCGGTAGGAGTTCGGCATGATTTGGGCCGGTACAATTTCGTAGAAATTAAAAAATGAAACGAAAACAGAATGTAACGGAAACCTAAGCTCGGCCCTAATTGAATCAAAATGGACTACAACCATCCCAGGGGTATGGCGCATTGGGTGAAGCCCAGCTCGCAATCGGAAATTCACTGGATCTGGGATTAGGGCCGGAATTTCGGCCTTATTATGGGAGGTCAGTTTTTGCCGCCTCTCCCTAATCAATTTTAGGTCAAGCGTATGACGGGGGAAATCGTTGGGACGTCCGGCCACCATGGAAGTCAGCTCATCTTCAGACTTGGTGTCATCGGAATCTTCACTGGAGGAAGGAGAACTGCCGGAGGAATCATCCGTCTCCGCCCTAATCTCCGTCGCCACCTTGGAGTCCTCATCAAAAGGGACGGTGATAATCTCCACATCACGGTCTTCCCCTTGGGAAGCCATTTCCGAATCGGAACACCATTGAGAATTCATAACGATCGAACCAAAGGAGAGAAAGATTCAAAGGAAGGAGAAGTACTTGGGCAAGAAAAACTTGAAAGATTTGAGAAGAAGAGGCAGAGTAAAAGCACGAATAAGATTGAAAATTCGAAACCCGGATTTGAGAAGTTAAAGGCTAATTTATAGCCTTACAGACGCCGTATCAAAGACCAATCAAATGGAGACACGTCACTCAGATTATTTGAAATAATACGTGTCACATGGAAGAGCAAAGATCAACAATCATGACGAATATGGGGAAACTACAATGACAGCCATCAAATCACAGTATGGGGAACTGACCACTTCTGTATCCCGATCGCTATTCGGCAGTTGCGACATTGGTGTTTATACTTCCTAATGCACTCACTGTCATTCGAGACATCGGAAGTGGGGGACTTGTGTTGGGATATTCACCCAGAGACCCAATACCCGGATTAAAAAGGCCCAGGATATCCAGCCCAAACAACGAGTCCATTACCCTATGATGAGTAGGCCCAGTGAAGAATCCATACCGAACGAGGTTCGGTCCAAGTAGAGGCCGGCCCAGAAAGCAGAAATACCGAATGGAGTTCGGATCATACATCATACTTGGGCCAATTTGACAGCGTCTTCCGCATGGTCCAGCATCCCGTTCGAGCAATGGACAACCAGCAAGTGGCCAGGTGCATTTAATGCCAGATTGTGACATCAGCAAGTGGAAGCATGGGTGATCAAGTCGGTGGAACAACGGCCAATCAGCACAGAACAGCCCATGCTCTCCATTAGTATAAATAGAAGGTTTAATATCATTGTAAAGGTTAGCATTTTGATACTCAAGCTCTAGAATAGCATTATTACTCTCGTTTCTTGTATTAAAGCACAGTTCCGACGTATCGATCGGGAAGTTTCCTTGTAATCAAACAGGTTAATTAATACAAGTGGGCTTTTGAGCATTCGTTGATTCATCTTTTATATTTTGTTATACACTTTGATTCTGATCCATTCCTGATATATCCAAAGTTCGTGTTGGGCTTTCGGATCTGCGGGACTTAACCTCAACAAGATATATTCCTGATTTTATGGCCCTTTTTTATGCATGTGTTTAAAAGGTCAATTCTTTTAAGAAATTTCAAATATTTTGAATAACTTCAAATAAGTCAAATGACGATAGCTACCGATACAATGCGATATAATAAAAATTATTACATCGTACTCAAAAAAATCAATATCGACTTCACCTTTCCTCCAACCACAATTGATATGCTACGATTGTACATAGAGACGGTCATCCATGCAAGAACAACACAAATCGTTAACTACCAAGTTAGAATAAAACAACGATCGTTGATCATACAAATTCTCATACGTCTACACCATCAATACTAGCAGAATTGTCAGTCATCCTAATCTCTAGCAACATAGTCTTTAATAAAAATCAATTACGATCTTCGAGCTCAGGCAATCAATTCACCTCATGATGGTGGCTCGGGAGGGGGGATGAGTCGGCGGTAAGGCCATAGATGAGATGAGTAGCATGACGATTTTTGATAAAAATAGAGTTAGCGTTGAAGGGATCATAAACTTTCGAGTACAACCATAAAAACAACTTGGAGGCGATTCAATTTTTAGGAAGCAATTTGATAAAAATAGGTTCAGAGGTAAAATAAAAGAGAAGTACAAATCAATTGAAAAGAAAACAAATCAAGAAAACTTTGGAGGAGAGATAACGTGAAGAAGTGCAAGTGAAAACTCATTTAAAATAATTTTGGGAGAACTATCAAATAAGCCCTCGAACTTACATAAAAAGTGCAAATAAGCCCTTTTATAGGAGGCTCTGTCCGACGGTCACCATTTGGAGCGGTTTCTGGTGAAATTTTTTGATGAAAGTTTTAGAGCATCTTCTATATTAAGTCTAGTTTACCCATACTAAATTTCAGATAAAAATTCAACCGAGAAGGAGGTGAAATGATTTTCTGATATATACTGCGTTGTTTAACTGCGCAGTTATCTTCAAAAATTCATTTGAGTGCCTTCCCGATTGAATATTTAGCTGAAATTTTGTATGAGTAAACAAGACATGATGAATAACATGCTCAAAAAAATTAATCAAAAAATTCCAGAGGGAACCGCCTCATACGGAGACAGCCGGATAGAGCCTCCTGTCAAGGGCTTATGATTTAAAAACAAACAAGCGCCGCTGTAGCATCCATATCTACAGACAATGGAGGTAGGCACACCCAAATGGCGGCATTATTTCAGTATGAGTAAATTAGAACAATTCCCAAATGGCGGTATTTTCTTTTATGACCATAAGTTTCGGAGTTATTTCAGTATGAGTAAATTAGAACAATTCCCAAATGGCGGCTGAAAACTCTCTCTCGCAAGAATTGTATTTTCTCCATGGATGCACAAGTACTAGGACGGCTTTCCTCTTCTTTTTCCCTGCAATTCAGATCGAAACAAGTTCTTTTTCCCGTCTCCGGCGACCCAATTTCTCCTCGCAGAAGAAACTGCCCTTTCTCCATTAAGGCTGAGATTCGAAGTGGTAGCAACCGCAGCGGGAAAGAGTTCGACTACGCCGCATACGAGGCAGAACGGCTGAGGCTCGACGCGGCGGCGCGTCAGTCTATGGCGGAGACCTCCGAGAGAGAAACCCGAAACGAGAGCGACCCGAAGGCGTGGAAATGGGCTATCCGGAAACGGATATGGGACTTGATGGAAGCTCTGAACGTTGCCCAGTTCCCCAGACCCGTTCATCATCGGATACCCAATTTTGTCGGCGCTTCTGTTGCGGCTAAAAAGGTACAATAAAGACTTCACCTTTTTTCCCCTTGTTTCTTATTCCTTTTTAGAAATTCATCTGGGTTTAATGACACCTTCCATTTTGTTAAGTTTTCAGAAAAATGTTTTGACAGGTGAGTGAATTGGATGTGTTCAAAGCGGCTAATTGTGTGAAAGTGAACCCAGATACACCACAGAAACAAGTGAGGTTTCTCACACTTAATGGTAATCTCCTGCAATCTCTTTTTGTTTTCTTTTATATTTTCAGATTAGCTGATTCCTGTTTTTGCTTGCAAACTACCTTAGCTAACTAGAAAGTAGAAACTTAGGGTCAGTTACCCAGTTTGGTTGAAGGATTTTGGAGAACTGAGTAATGAGTATACACCTTGATAAATAGAATTTTCCAAAAATAAATAGATGGTGATTGAAATGACACATGATCACATATTACGTTTATCCTTCATCATCTTTTAATAAATCTTATGTGTGTGTGTACGTGTGTGTTCCAAGATATCGACTTTGGCCTCCATCTAAATTTACCTTTCGAAAACGTGTAGTTAATGAGCATAATGATTTATATGACTACATATTGATGGCGAAGGGAGTTAAGTTACTATGTATCACTCTTAATTCATATGTTTGACACACTGGTTTGTAACTTGTAAGTTGGGCTGAGGGTGGTTTTATTTTCTTGTAATAATAAAGCAATATAGGGAGTGTTAGCAAGAGCTTCTATGAAGCATGTTTATGTTTTTAATGTAATTTTTTATTTGCTTTAAAAGGGCTAAAAAGGAGTGCTTTAAGCTACTGATTCTGGTTTGCCCTTAACACTTTAGTGCTTAGGGCTGTAAGTTGGGAGAGGTCCTTAGAACATTTCTTTTTTACTTTTTGTATTACATGTCGCCCTAATTAATATACTCCCTCCCTCCCACTGGACTTGGCCAATTTTTCTTTTTTTGTTGTCTCAAAAACTTTGTCAGTTTCCTTTTAAAATAATGAATTTGTGACTTTGTTCATTTCTCTATCTTCTGGACAAATCTCAACCATACAACTTTTACTTTTCTAATTTCACATTCAACACAAAGTTGGAAAAATTGAGTGGGACGGAGGTAATATCGAATAGTGCTTTTTCCTTACCAAACACTTAAAAAATTACCTTTACTTTCAAACACTACCAACATTTGTTATTAAGAACTTTTCACATAATTCCAAAGTAAACGGCTTCTCATAAGAACATGCCAACAGGTCCAACCCAAGCACAATAGCAAAATAAATCTCATGCAGAAGATGATATTCGATAAATAGAATATTCCAATAATAGATAAAGGGTGATAGAAATGGCACATGATCACATTTTATGTTTTTTTCTTCATTTTTTCAATAAAATTGTTAGAACTCTGCAATTTCTACAACTAATTCACAGAAATCTCACAAGAACACAACTTCTAAATCTTTGTTGAAAGGTAACAATGGCCGAAGCCCCCAAAAGATAGAGATACAACTCTGATCTTCCCAGAATGACTTAGAGTCAGAAAACAGCCTACTCACAATTTCCAGCTATCTACTATTTATAGTAAGTTCATAACTCCTACTTATCGGATATAGTTATTAGCTAGTAACAAGCTTTGACTAATAACTAACTCTACTTCCTTCTAGAATATACTTTGCCAAAGTATTTATCATCTCTCTTCGGTATAGTAGAGTCTCTATCAATACTCCGTCCCTAAACATCCACCTTGCCGTCAAGGTGGGTGGTAGGAGACAACCAAGATCTTGTGTTTCCTCTTCATCCTTGCGCCTCTTCCTTCCCAATACCTAACTAATTGCGGGAGCATGAACTTCATTGTCTGAAGAACGCACTGATGATTGGGATCTCTGTAATTGTTTTGTTCCTCATAACCAGATGGTGCTGTTTGACCTTTCCCTTCAATATTCTTGTCTGGATGTATTGGCTGCGAATTGATCACACTGCCAGTACTGATATTCCTGAAAATGCTGTGTCCATGTCTGGTTAAACACAGAGCAATTTCTTCCCCAATTTCATATGAGGTTCCATCTTTAGGGTTTACAGTATTTTGATGAACACCCAAAGATGCCTCACAGCTTACAAACCCCACATCCAGTTTGGATCCCGATGCCATGTATTGTCGGATGTATACTGGGGCATCGACAAGCAAAAAGAGAGCTGCACATTGATACCCAGCACCACTTGGGAAAAGGAAAACTTCAATGTTGGCTCCCTTGATCAAGTGTAATCTTGTTTTCTCAGGGATAGAGCTCAGCCTGTAATAGTGAATTTGGCCAGATTCTTTACCAATAGCAACACTCAAGGAATTAGTGATGGAGTCTATTTTCTTTAGATCTTCCACAACCGAAACAGAGGAATGAATTCTTGTTGCTCGTGTAAACAGTTTTCCAATCAGCCCATTAGAGAAGAATTTCTGAAACCTCTTTGTTTCCCTGACTGGTTTTGCATCCAACTTTATTAACCCAAGTGAGGAGAAAGAAGCCATAACTATTCTTCCCAGCAAATATGGTTCCATTTCTATATTTCCAACATCTTCACCTAGCTTGGTTTCCATTAAACGAACACTAGTGGAACAGTTCACTTCTGAATCATTGGAACCTGAGAGCATTTTGTAAGGTTGAAAATTTGCTTCAGCTTCCAATCTATTAACAGTAGCCTGAATAGTAGGATCCAGGACCACACTGATTTTATAAAACTGGTATTCAAAAGTAAACTCATCAGCCCATTTCAGTCCCTAATTAGAGGAGTCCCAATTTGCATGAAGTATCAAAGTGCCCCCCTTAACTGCTATCCTAGGTTTGATATATGAGTGAGTGAAGACTGAACCTTCACTTGCACTAATATGTGGATCATTCTTCCCCAACTGTTTTGCTAAGGCACCCCGGAATGACACAACACCTTCACCCCTAATTTCTTGTTCCTGACTGTCAGCATCAATAACATACTTCTCCATCATTCTTCTATTAGTGATTTTGTGAACCATGTTACACCTTTTCCAATGCTCACCTCTTTCCCAGAAAATCTTGCTCTCTGTACCAGCAATTGCCATATGAGACGGCATGTCACGACCTACCCCTCCGTCTAGCACAATAATACCAACTGTTGACAGCCCCCAAACCTTTTTAACTTCTGTTACTGCATCTGTGAAGAGACCCGGAATGAGATCCTGAAAAATCTTGATGGTCTCGTACTTGAGAAAACGAGTAATTGCTCCAGCTTCATGGTTATCCGACGATTTCTCCTTGTGTTCCTTATCGCCAGTCTGCTGATTAATCAACTCCTGCTGCGAATCTGGGGATTCAGATGGATATTGCGAACTGTGGTCTTCTGTTCGCATAGAAACCAGAGGTCCAGACGAATTGGTTTGCGAACTCATAAGAGCTGCTTGAAACGAAGAAGGGGACGAGTGAGAATCTACTGGCGAAGATGAAGAATTATTTCTTGGACATGAACATTTAGCCGATGAAGAATTATTTCGCGATCGCGAACTAGAAACAGTTCGCTACTCCGACCGCGAACTGGTGAACGACGGTGACGAATTTTGTGTGTCAGACATCGGAAGGGGCCTAGTCTTCCTCGATCGTTCTCCAGGTCCTATGCGACGCCTCTGGTCTTCCGATTCCTCTGAGCTAGCCGAAAGTCGCTTCTGTCGATGATGATTATCTGAACCTTGTGAAGAATTCGAATGATGCGATCGACTCTTCGAATGTATGTCCGCGATGCTAGATTGTCGATGTGAAGTCCGATTCGATGCGGAGGATGCATGCTATCTATTTCGCGAAGGATGTTGATCTCTCACATCCATTTTCGCCAGAAACGCAATTAACATCCCCTTGTTTTGCTGTAGATTTCTCTCAAAGTTATCCACTCTAGCTTCCATCTTTGCGCACGTCTGTATCATCCACGGTGATCGAAAGCTCTGATACCAATGTTAGAACTCTGCAATTTCTACAACTAATTCACAGAAATCTCACAAGAACACAACTGCTAAATCTTTATTGAAAGGTAACAATGGTCGAAGCCCCCAAAAGATAGAGATACAACTCTGATCTTCCGAGATTGACTTAGAGTCAGAAAACAGCCTACTCACAATTTCCAGCTATCTATTATTTATAGTAAGTTCATAACTCCTACTAACCGGATATAGTTATTAGCTAGTAACAAGCTTTGACTAATAACTAACTCTACTTCCTTCTAGAATATACTTTGCCAAAGTATTTATCATCTCTCTTCGGTATAGTAGAGCCTCTATAAAAAATCTCAAATATATATGTTGATATATATATCAAGATATAGATGTTGGCCTCCATCCAAATTTACCTTTCAAAACCAGGTGGTTAATGAGATGAGAACTTGACATTGATGGTGAAGTGAGTTACGTTTCTATGTATGTCTCTTCATTCTTGTGTTTTGCCACATTTGTTCGTTAATTTGGCTAAGCGTGGCTTTATTTTCTTGAAATAATAATGCTATATGCCTATATAGGAAGTGTCCGTAAGAGCTTCTAGGAAGCACTTTTCTGCTTTTTTCTTGAAAAAGGCTAAAATATAGTGTTTTTAAACTGCTGATTCTGGTTTACTTAGCATTTAATTCTTAGGGCTGTAAGTTAGGAGAGGTGGTTAAACCTTTTTTTCCCTTTTTCTTTTGAACTCCTTATTTGCAGGTCATAACAATATACCAAATAGTACTTTTTTCTTTCCAATCACTGAACTCTACTTTTTAAAAGTCACTTTTACTTTCAATGACTAGCAAACTTTTGTTATTAAAAGCTTTTCACGTAATTTCTAAAATAAATGACTTCTCACAAGAACAAGCTAACGATCCAACCCAAGCACAATAACACAATAAATTTGAAGCAGGCTTGTTGTTATGACTTAGAGCCATGCCAAAGTGAATAGTCGCTTCATATAATTGTTGCTTTAACCCCCCATGTTATACCAACCAGGGCTATCTAATTTTGTTCTTTGTTAAATTACGAAACACATTCCATCTTTGTTAAATTACAATCTGCATGGCTTGTTCATATATATGTGCAGGAAGGAAGATACTATTAACTCCACAGCCTCGTCTTAGGACTGGATTTTTTTCCTTACTCGAACCTTCTCAGGCGTTATTGAGTCCTGATACTCTCAAAGAGGCTTGCACCTCTGCAGGTGTGGCTAAATATGGAAAGCCGATTGGACTGGATGAGAAGATTAGAGTCGATATAATTGTTATTGGTTCTGTTGCTGTTGATCCAACCACTGGTGCTCGACTTGGCAAGGGAGAGGTATGAGCTGGCTTTTTATTTGGGATGACCTTTTGCACATAATGGAATTATAATAATGTATGATTAAAAGTTTCTGCTTTTCAACATTTAGATTCCTCCCCCTATTTCGATTATATTATATTATACTCCATATTATATTATCAGAACTTCAATTTTTCATATCATTTAAGGGGTTTGCTGAGCTTGAATATGGCATGCTACGTTACATGGGTGCAATTGATGACTCGACACCTATCGTCACGTCTGGTATAATTCCTTTATCTAGCACTTCTGAATAAAGAGCAGGGTAAGCCACATTTGCTACCAAACAAAACCTTGGTTGTTCTTGTGTATGTGGTTCCTATTAAGCCATCCCGCGGCAGACACATATAAAGATACAAATTATTATATAAAGCATTATAATATTCTACTCCAAATAGGTTATACTCCGCATCTATGAGCCATCCCTAATGAGCTGCACGTCCACAACCAGTACAAAAAACAAACTGATGTATAAGACCTGCGATTACTTGGTAGTTTGATCGGACCCTCTGGGATGTAACTCCAAATATCCATGATTACAACGGTGGTTTTTTACATATTGTGTTTGTAGTACATGACAAGCAATTGGTTGGCGATATTCCTGTCGAAAAGCTATTGATCCATGATGTTCCAGTTGACATCATATGCACTCCAACCCAAGTCATATTCACAAATACAACCATCCCAAAGCCTCAAGGTCAGTGTTTTACTAAAGCTATGTCTTTTTGAAAAAATCATTTAATGTATGTATTTAAGAGAAGTGGGAAGGTGGCTCTCCATGACTCCATTGTCTTCATGTTTATTGAGATTAAGGTGACAGCAATATCATTTCTATTTTAAACATAAATAGGGATTTATTGGGAGGAGCTGTCTCCTGAAAAGCTCAGTCAAATCCTAATACTAAGAGAGCTGAAGAGCAGAATAGAACAAGAGACGGGACAAAAGCTTCCATGTGGTCCTTCCGAGAAGCTCCCCCCAACTGCTCGCCGAGGGAGACACTGATGTCCCCTTGCTGCTTGTTTGGAGTAACTTTTTTCCGTACTACTATATTTTGTGGAGTTATTGCTGCAGTGAGCAAAAGGTTGTGGAAGAAATTATAGTCATGAGTTCATTCCAATTATTCTCTTAATGAAGCAAAGTTTTGACAAGTTCACTAATGACATTGGGGTAAATTTACGGTCATTCCTTGCATATATAATTTACCTTACTGTATGATATGGTAACTCTATTTTAACTCACTATATGAAGAAGTACTCCCTCCGTCCCTGAATTATATTCAAACTTTCCTTTTTCATCCGTCCCAAAATTATCTCCTCCTTCCTTTTTTGACAAAGAATTTGTGGTTCACAATCATTCTTACACATTCTTACACATTTCTCTCTCCTCTGCACAACTCTCCACCACACAAAACCCACTATCTTAATTACTGTGCCCAGCCGAAATGGGAGAAAAAACAGGGACGGAGGGAGTATGATTTCACCAGAAATGGGTGAGCCAAGGCATTGGTTGCCTTCCCCCTCCTATACACGCACATCATATTCCTTTGATACTATAGTGGTTATAACCTTAATGGACGACTTGATACTATTAACTCATTGAAAGACATGTGTCAATGGGAAACTATAATCGCCCGAAATCGATTACATGCTTCGGACTAAATCCACCAAGAGAATGTGTGACTTTTATTTGGAATGTCTACACCCCTCCTAAACTCCTTCCCACTTGGTTCATCATCATTTCATCATTTTCATTTACCCCAGTGCCGCAAAGGCTCCCACCTACGGTGGGGTAAGGGGGGGGGGGGTCGGATGTACGCAGTCTTACCCCTGTACTAAAGCACAGAGAGACTGTTTCCGGATGACCCATAGTGAAAATCGCGTCCAAGATTGCATGGACTGACTGTTGCTCCATAACAAAGAAGCGCAGACAATTTAAGCCATTTTGCTTTATTCCATCATAATCTCAAGCCAAAAAATAATGAATCTTTGGCTCCATTGCAAATGATGGAAAATCCTTCCCACTTGGTTGGCCCTTATAAATAGGCTTGTCAGTTTTGATAATCTTGACTATCTAAATTTGGATAACACTTGTATCTTTTGCAGAGTGGGCCAAAAATGGTTACACACATTTTTTTCTTTGTCCTTTTAGTAGTAGGGTCTGGAGTGAAGTCTAGGATAAGCTTGGTATTGGTAGAAGCATTACAACTTTACAAGACCTGCTAGCTTGATATACTGGATTAAGAAGTTATGCAATGGAGCTTTAATCAAGTCAGAGGTTATTAGGATTGCGTTTTCCTGCATGATGTACCGGATCTTGAGGAATATGAATGCGACTCGCCACGACGAAAAAAATTGGACATAATCGCCAAAGTCATGAGCATGATCTATAAAATTTGTAGAGCCTTTTCCCCCAGAGTTGATTCCTTTCTGATTTTTGTTAAACTTTTGGTCCCTAAACCCTTTTATTTTGGAGCAATTGTAGCTGGCTTTTATGAGCTATAGCTACTTCATGATGGGGTCTCCTCACTGGGGCTTTTTTGTAAACTCTATATGTTTCTTTGAATGTTAATAAACGTTTCCGTTTCATCAAATGAAATTGTTATATTTTCTCGATTTACTTTTATTTATGAGAAAACAAGAAAAGTTGTAAATAAAGTAAAAAAACAGAGCAAATAAAAGTGATGAAGAGACTATAGGTTGGTTTAATCTTCTTGAAATTTAAGAGTGAAGTACATATTTATTAGGGAAATCTTTACAAATAGACCAAAAGTGAAAGATATCATTTTTATCACCCGAAAGACTTTCTTTCAAAAATAGCTACTTCAAAGTTTTTTTTTCAAAAATGGACCATCCGTATTCCGTACGTAGGTAGTCCACTGGCTCAATTTATTTCTTGTCACACGTGCACCCATGCCCATAAAGATCGAATCACTGCTCCCCTCTTCACAAAGAGTACAAAGGACTCACTCAACTTTCTATACATAAGCTGAAAATGTAAAAATTCATTAACTCATATATTTGATAATGCTTAGAAAAAATAAAATACAAAAAAGAGATTGAATTTAAAACACATAAACAACTTAAAAATAAAATTCCAAAAAAAATGCAAAATTGGAAAATTGTAAATTAAATTTAAAAATTAAAGAAAATGAATTTAAATTTTACAAAAAAGTTAGAGAAATAATAAATATCTAGAAATCTTAAAACAAAAAAACTTGAGAAATATTTTTTAATGTAATTTTTTAATTAGGTAATATAATCTATTTTCTAAAATATAAAAAATCAAAAGTTTTATAAAAAAGTATAAAATAAGAAAAATATTTCGTAAATATTATATAATAAGAAAAATAATCGGAATATTTTATGAAAAATTAATTATTTTAAAAAATTGGAAAAATTGCATATTAAAGAAAATAAAAAATTCAAATAAATATAAAAATTTGAATTCATTCGAAAAGTTAAATTAAAATTTATATTACATCGGAACAAATAAAAACATATTATTTAATTTTTTTAAAAAACGGAAAATTAATGTAACCTAAAAGACATTAAAATTAAAATAAACTCAGTGAATAAAAATATGAAAGTTTAAAATAATGAACTTGGAAAATATATTGAAAATTTGAAAATTTAAAAATAAGAATTTCTGAATTAATATTTCTTAAAGCACTTAATTTTTGTAATTATTATTATTATTTTACTACTATTAGATTTTGTTGCCTATTGTTTATATGTGTTTCTTTTTATTGATAATTATGATTTTTTATTGTTTTTTATTGTTTCTTTATGTTTCTAATTTTTGTGTATATTTATAAATCTAAATTTATCATTTTAGGTGACTATATATACATACATACATACTTGTTAGCTTTGAATAAAAAAAAAATATAAAATCTAAATACAAAACAAAAATCAACAACAAACAACAATAAGTACTAAACCCAACAAAAACCAACAAAATGAAACAAAATGCAACAAAATGAAACAAAATCAATAATAAACAACATACAACATGATGCAACAATTAACAACACGATGCAACAAAAAGCAACAAGTATGATACAACAAAATGAAACAAAAATATTACTAAATATTACACTATCACAACAAATATATAATTCGGTCTATTATTTTAATTTATTACATTTATCTATCATAATATTTAGATTTGGTCTTATAATTTCTTCTCCTCTTTGAGTCTTTGTTTTCAATTTCTGGGATGATCCTCTTAATCTTTTTATCATCCTCTTCATCATGTATTTCATTTTAAGCAGGTTCAAGCCAAGACAAATGTCCAGAAATGGCCGATCTTGTTCAACATATCCGTAGAGTGCTTCAGCCTTCCGCATGACAAAAAACCATGATATATCATTGGGATATCTGCCAAATCACTACATCTATGTACATCCCAAGATATCTGCCAACTTGTCATTAGGGTTTGGCATGCAACCTACAACAGACTTACCCATTCTTGCTTAGCACATCCATAGCAGCAGCAAAGGCACCTACTCCATGGAAAATTAGGCATTTTGCATTAATAATGTCCTCATGTGTTTGTACCTAAAAGAATGCATTCATGCAGAACACTGACAATTAGAAAACAAGCGAACAAAGCACATGAATCTTCCTACAGTCATATAACTTTCAAAATGAATCATAAATCATCCTTTCACTTGCAAAATGTAGGGCATGTCCTTACTCGTTTGAAATAGAACAGATCAGTACAAGTTTTTCTGTTTTTTCTCTTCAGATGGGTAAGATGTGTGGAGCAAAGCAAAACAAAAAATGAATTGGAAGGAAAACTTACATCTTTAATATCAAAACCAAGGAATTGAATTGCATTCCTTAAACTTCGCACATTTCTGACACCATAGTCAAGCAGAGTAACCGCTTCACATATTGAAATTAAAATAATAAAAGATTAGGAGTCATTGCAATTTCTAAAGAAGCTCAATAGTCATTTCTGAGAGGAAGAGAACAAGTCTCTGGTTTCCCGAAAGATAGACAAATTCTTAATGCAAAATTTTTATTGAAATAAACAAAGAATCGTTATATATATATATAAAATAATTAGAAATCAACATGTTCACACAAAAGTCTTATTGGGATATGGAGTTTCTGGAGTAGCACATTGTAACTAACCAATAAAAACCCCTCATTTTCCAACCCTCATGGCTTTCTCCACTAAATGCAAAAGCTCGGGCATTGATGTTTTGTAGACTCAGATTTCATCAACAAAATGAAAACATAATAATCAAATAGTCATCCAACATTAAAAATAAAATCAAAACTCAATTCGGCCACACACATTGCATTGTTCACTTATCTACTGTCCAGTATTGGTGTTAAAATTGCAAAATTGTATTGAGAATATGTAATTATGTATAAAGACTTAAAGCCTAGATAAAGCTATAGGAATTTCCAGTGAGATGAGTTAGTCCGCACTTCCGCCAGGAATTCACTCTATTGCTCCTAAAAGTAGCCTTCACTTTTCCATGATATCACTCTATTACTCCTAAAAGGTATTGTACAAAAGCAAATGCAAATGCCATAAGCATGAGAGAATACAATGATAATGGTCTAATAAAGTTATATGCCATATAAATAATAAATGGTTAAGAGTGGAAGATTGACTTGCATTCCGGCCCGAATAAAGTTATGCTCCCTCTCTACTTTGGTGATGAATTTTTTATTTTTTTCTTAAACATTTCCTAGTTTTCTTCATTCCAACGAGTGAACTTCGAGAATCAATTTCTTATTCACCCGTTATCCGTTTTGAGTGTACCATATAACTAATTGTAGCCATTAACAAGGAAATCCGAAACCACTTTGACCCGACCCAAATCGGAAGTGGACCCCACTCAAAATAATGTCTCAAACTGACCATTTAATGCAATTTTTAACACATTTTCCCAACAAAATGCACTTGAACTTAAGATTATGTTGTATTAATGTGCTTTTTAAATAATCATGTTAATGGCTTAATGCATGTCCGAGTGGTTTTTAAATAATCATGTCAGTATATAATAAATTCCACTTTTGGTTCTACGAGTTTTAGTTCAAAACCACATTTAGTCCACCTCTTTCACTTTGTCCACTTTTGATACATGACTATTGTATTTTCGCCCATAAATGATCCTTCCAGCATTGTTTCCGATGGTTAAAATTGCCGGAAAAAGACCACAAACGGTTAAAAAACATTAGTCAAGCATCAAAAGTGGACGAAGTGAAAGACGTTGACTAAAGGTGGAATTGACAGAAAACTCGTAGGACCAAAAGTGGAATTAATTCTGTTAGTATGTGTTCCTATGTTTTGTAAACTTTGTTCTTACATTATTAATAGGAGAGACTATATTCACAATTAATTTTACAAAAGAGACACCGTATTTACCATATTTACCACGGTCACACGGTGTAATTGAGCTATGAAATTTTCACAAAAGATCGAGAGTTTTCTACACTGTTCATGCCAGACAACAAGAACTAAATTTACAATTTATTTCACACTTTAATGATGACAATTACAAAAATTAAAAACGTAGACTATACTTCAACATATGATATAAATGAAGGATTAAAAGTGTGATTCTCTAATATGTGCGCCGCAGCTAGGGTAAGTCGGTGAGTTTGGGGTCGGCGATATTTCTTTCGCTCGGTGTTCAGAAGGCACAGAAGAGGGATAGACGCCAAGGTTTTGACGCTGAAGGAAGCAAGCGGTAACAGTGGTACATAGTGGGCATTTTTGACCTTCTTGGGAGGTACGTAACAGATTATTGTTTGGGTGTAAATCAGAAGGAGAAAATTCGATCGAGTTTTGCCTTGATGTCAATCGCGTCCATGGGGGTCGGAAGGGATCGTGGACATGCTTTGACTAGGGTTCTGCGGTTTAACTTTTCGATTCTTGGTCTGGCTATTTTGGCTCTTTTGATGTCTGAGATGGGAAGGGCACCAACTGTGTTTGATCCGGGTGGAAAATTAGAGGTTTGGGGTTTGGTTAAAGGGGCGAACTTGGAAATCAATTGGCTGTTTTGGGGATCACCCAGGTTGTTTTGGCCGACTAAGTCGGTTGCCACCTTGGGTGTTTTTCCGGCCGAGAAGGGCAGAGATCAACTTGCAATGGATAGACAAATGATGAGGCATGGAGAATTCCATATTCATGTGATAGAGGAAGAAAGCGAAGAGATAATGATCCGCCCCCCTCCTGAACCGCCGCCATGGAGAAACTGCGCGGCTAGGGTTTGGAAGATTGTTTTATTACTTCTATCTTGGTACTTTCAGTCGATCCCGTTTTACTATTTCTATTTTATTATTTTCATGAAAAACAATAAAGGGGGTAGGTTGATGTTTTGTGTTGCTTTAGTTGATAGATTTATATTTGGAGGCAATCAGACTGATTCGGCCGCTAATAGGCTCGAAGCTCTCACATTTACAGCGATTAATCTCGCTCTTTTTTGGGTGGACTACTCTATGTCTGATAAAGAAGTGAGGGGGCCGATGAGCTTATGGTATTTGTTGGTCCAAGGGATATTAGTGTCGAATGCTTTTTATATTGATTGTAATCCTCCGGATTGTATTGTGTCTCAGCTT